TTTCAGACCCCCTGACCATACTGGCTACACTGTGGCTCGATCATGTCTATCGTGCATTTTACCGACGATTTTGCAGCGGGCCGCTCTTTGAGGTACATGCATAAAAGAATGCTTTTGGAAGCTGCATCCTAGGAGTCTAACATGTTCTTTCTAACAGTCGCCGCTGTACTTTCATTGTTGCCTTCCGCGTTGGGCCGAACACTATACCTTGCCGGGGATAGTACTATGGCTCCCGGGGGAGATGGTGCTGGAACTGGCACAGATGGTGCGATGTTTTGGGCTAATACTCAGGTCTACTAAGCATACCTGGTGTTAGGATGGGGACAATATGTCGGCCAATACCTCACACTGACTATTAGTAATCAAGCCATAGCCGGTAGAAGTGCTCGCAGCTTTACTGAGGAGGGCCGTTTCACTACTATCATTAACGAGGTGGTGGCAGGAGACTTCGTGGGTGAGTGTTTTCTGGCGCCAAAGTCATGTTTTGCCGCTGACAGCATTTATAGTTATTGAGTTTGGTCACAACGATGGTCTCTCTGGGGCCGTCGATAATGGCAGGGAAGATGCCTTTGGTACATTTGCCACTTTTATCACTAAGCTCGTGTGCTATTCATTAAATAAATCTCGTAGGCGATAGTCTTACTGCTACTAGCACGGTGGTAGAATCAGAGTAAGTTCGTGAAGTGTCTGTCTTGCCTCATATCCTGACCGCCTAAAAAAATAGTGGATCCACTGAGGTCATCCACACATTCAACTTCTACATGACAAACGCAGTCAACTCGCTCAAAGCCAAGGGAGCCATTCCGATCGTTTCTGCCCAAACTCCTGACGACATTTGGACTGGCAACGTGATTACCGCCCCTCCTAGATTTGTTCCCTTTGCTCAAGAAGTAGCTGGAAACACAAGCGTTACTTACATTGATCACTACGATTATGTGGCCCAAGGTGCGTAATTCATTAGTGTTGCTCGAATCAATAATGACGACTCCGTCAAAAGCCTACGAAATTATCGGAGAAACAACGGTCAATACTTTTTATCCTATTGACCATACTCACACTACACCCACTGGTGCCAACATTGTGGCTGAAGCTTTTATTCGTGGAGTGCTCTGTTCATCCAGCACTTTGAAACAATTTGTGAACAGTGCAGGCGAGGCTGTTCCTAGTGAGTTGATTCCTTTTGTTGTCTTAAAACATAAATTTAAGTGGCCTCGTACAGACGGCTGTTTGTAAATTAAGTACATTCATTTCCGAGTACTACAGTACATGTGTATTCGAATTTGTTTCGACGCTACTGATAGACAGCGGAAAAATCTGTGTCACAATCTGAAGCCACTGTCTCAAGACTTTATCTCCACCACAAGCGTTGAATCTTTCGAATTTATCATTGAGATCTACTTGCACACTCATCCATTCACCTCCTGACCGTCTTGGTTCCTCGTTCATTTTACCGATGAACTCGCAGCGGGCCGCTCTCTGAAATCCTTATAAGAAATCTCTCCGCCAAGGGCTGCACCTCTCAATTTTAACATGTTCTCTCTCGCAGTCGCATTTGTGCTTTCATTGCTGCCTTCCTGTTTAGGCCGCACACTATACCTTGCCGGGGACAGTACCATGGCTTCGGGAGGAGGTGGTGCTGGGACAGATGGTGCGATATTCCAGTTTTGATGTACTTGTGTCTATTAAGGATGCCTCTTAGGGTGGGGACAATTTGTCGGGCAGTACCTTACAATACCGATCAGTAATAAAGCTGTAGCTGGTACCAGCGCCCGTAGCTATACTGCAGAGGGCCTTTTTACAGCTATCATAAACGAGGTGGTGACTGGTGACTTTGTAGGTGAGTAGTGTCTTGCGCCTGAGGCATCTTCTTCTATTGCTTAAATTGTCTCATACTTAAGTTATTGAGTTTGGTCACAACGATGGTAACTCTGGGGCCATCGATAATGGCGATGAAGATGCTGGTGGTATGTCTACTTTATGTTCTTTTTCGTCTTCTACTTGTCGTAACCAACCTTCGCAGGCGATAGTGTTACTGGTACTAGCACAGTCGTAGAGCCGAAGTACGTTCGTGAAATATCTGCCTTGTCTCATATTCTGACCACTCAAAACCAGTGGATCCACGGAAGTCATCCATACGTTCAACTTTTACGTGACAAACGCAGTCAACTCTCTGAAAGCTAAGGGGGCTATTCCAATTGTTTCTTCTCAGACTCCCGACAACATTTGGACAGGAAACGTGCTCGCCGCACCCTCGAGATTTGTTCCTGATGCCCAGGAAGTGGCTGGAAATACCAGCGTCACCTATATTGATCACTTCGACTATGTAGCTCAAGGTAAGTAGGTCATGGGTGTTGCTTGAACTGTATTTGACTAGGTCAAAAAAGCTTATGAAGCTATTGGAGAAACAACTGTGAATACCTTTTATCCTATTGATCATCTCCACACTTCGCCCACTGGGGCCAACGTTGTGGCGGAAGCATTTATTCGTGGAGTGCTTTGTTCATCCAGCACTTTGAAAGGCTTTGTGAACAGTGTAGGCGAGGCCGTTCCGAGTAAGTTGGAATTATTTCTAGTTCGATATAGGAATCTGACTGGTAATACAGATGGCTGTTTGTAAATTACATTGGTAGCATTACAATGCGAAATATCTTGATGTATGAACACGAAGTCCTAAAGTGCAAGGACGCGGGTGTAGTAGTAGTACACCGAAACTCTTTCGTCATTCCTATAATCTCTCGTTTGACTGGCCACTTCCAGACGGAAGCCCCCCTGAACGGAGTCAAGAGCGAAAACCTAAAGTGATCATTCTATGATTCGATGCAGGCTCGAACCAAGGACACGCATATATCTATATGTATATACCAGATCTCACGTTAGCCATCGAATCGCACAATCTAAACTGTCTGGGAGCGCACGCTGTGAGTAGAAGTAACAAAGTCATTGAAAAGGGTGGGACATCCGCAGCTCCATCGCGGTATCCGGCAACGGGACGGTATTCTCCAGAGACGAAGCAGGAGAAGAAGGCAATCACGTCGGCCCTTCAGCGGCTGAAGAGATCTGGCAGGTCGAAGAAGGAAAAAACAATGACCTGAGGGACTCGAATGAAGGTTGGTGCTGTTCTGATAGAAATAGAACCTTTTGTACTGACCATGCGGTTCTCAAGGAGGAACAAAGCACAAGTGAGTCAAGGTTTGGAGGCTATGAATAGAACGACTTCTTCCCGAACGTAGGACAGGCTTCTACACGGTATAACGATGAGACTTTCTTTCACGCTCGTCTGTGTCTTTGACCTCCGGGCCGTATTCACTTCCAGATTATCATGATGTCCCTCGTGCATTTTACCGACGATTTTGCAGCGGACCGCTTGTTGAGTATAAGAAATACCTCTGAAGCCTGAGGTTGCAACGCCCAGTAGAACATGTTCTCTCTCGCAGTCGCCGCCGTGCTTTCATTGCTTCCCCCTGCTTTGGGCCAAACACTATACCTTGCCGGGGATAGTACCATGGCTCCTGGAGGGGATGGTCCTGGAACTGACACAGACGGTGGGATACTTTATTTATGATATACTCCTGTCTAATCATGTCTGATACTAGGATGGGGAGAATTTGTCGGCCAGTACCTCACACTACCTATCAGTAATCAAGCTGTAGCTGGTACCAGTGCTCGCAGCTATACTGCAGAAGGTCTTTTCACAGCTATCATTGATGAGGTCGTGGCTGGAGACTTTGTGGGTGAGTGATTTCTTTGTGTCAGAGGCATATTCTATAACTTACAGAATTGTGTTAGTTATTGAGTTTGGTCACAACGATGGTACCTCTGGGGCCGTCGATAATGGCGATGAAGACGCCGTTGGTACATCCATCGGCTTCGTTTTTGACTTGAAATAACTAAAGAAAAAATTTCCCTCAGGTGATGCTGTTAATGGCACTAGCACGGTGGTAGAACCAGAGTATGCGAGTGTATTTTTGCCTTACCTCATATTCTGACCGCCCAAAAAATAGTGGATCCACGGAGGTCATTCATACGTTCAACTTCTACGTGACAAACGCAGTCAACTCTCTGAAAGCTAAAGGAGCTATTCCGATTGTTTCTTCTCAGACCCCCGATAACATTTGGACAGGAGACGTGCTCGCCGCAGCCCCTAGATTTGTTCCTGATGCCCAAGAAGTAGCTGGAAATACAAGTGTTACTTACATCGACCACTTCGACTATGTAGCGCAAGGTGTGTAAGTCATGAGGGTTGCTTGAACTGATACTAACTAGGACAAAAGCCTATGAAGCTATTGGCGAAACAACTGTGGATACATTTTATCCAGTTGATCACCTCCACACTTCACCCACTGGGGCCAACGTTGTAGCAGAAGCATTCATTCGTGGAGTGCTTTGTTCATCCAGTACTTTGAAAGAATTTGTGAACAGTGCAGGCGAAGCCGTTCCAAGTGAGTCGTAAAATTTGCATTGGAAGATAATTTTGACTGGTCTCGTAACAGATGGCTGTTTGTAATTCTTAGTATGTACATACACTGTTCTTTCTTGAAGTGTAGCCTCATGAATGATCACTGAGGGGAATGGCCGCGACTGCGGCAAGGGCCGAACCTTTCTTTACTTGTAGCAGATGAGAATGGGGACACAATTGATAGGTAGTATGCGTGCTTGCTTTTTCCTCTGACTCGAAATATTGTTGCTCAAGTTAGAGTCAGTATCCCCCAGAAATCTGACTTATGAGTGTAACAAGTATTGAAGCGCAATCTCAGTAGGTCTCAGTCTAGTCCAGCCTCAAGACTTAGATTGAGGCGAAGGGAAAGCGACGGTATACTAGTGTCTGTAGATGAAGTCCACGTTGAAAGCAAAATAATCAATAGGACACGGCCATCGACAGATTTGGAACCATTTTGGGTATATACATCGAACATTCGTCTACAGAGCCCAACCTAAAGGTTCGGCAATAATAACTACTAGTAGATAACAATATCGAAAGAAAAAGTGTAACAGCAGCAATATGATTCGACCCGGGCTCGAACCGGGGACCTTCTGTGCAGTGATTTGTCGATGTTAGACAGATGCGATAACCAACTACGCCATCGAACCGATGCTTAGAATAGGAAAAGCTCCGGTGATACGCTCTCTGACTTGGGGACAATTGTGGAGCTCATTATTAGGCGCCCAACTTATGCTCTCTTCACTGTTCGCAAAAAAGCCCCAAAATGAAATTGGTGAAGAACTTTCTGAAATAATCGCGCCTCCGGCAGCCGTAGCACCCTCCAGCACTCCATTTCGCTTAACTACAGATCTGCAGACTCCTCACGATGCTATACTTTCGAATCTATATGATTCAGAAACTGCTGAACGGATTCCTAATGATGAAGACAAGCCAATTAGAGTTCAAACGTTTGCAGGCTTAGCTACACTAGTCACTCCTAATCCTACTTCACAAGTCGTTCGAGATCCTTTCGATGGTCAAACTACGGGTACACTTGTACTTCCAGATCCCATCCTGTATCCAGATGCTCACGTACCGCTGAGTGATGCTGCCAACCGTAATGAGGAAATTTGGTCGCACCTGTCTACTGTGCTAGATTTACAGGGCCAGATTGCGGCTTTGCATCTTGAACTGGAAGGAATAGGCAAGAATGATCACAGTAGGGGTCACAACCGGGCACCCAATGCTACTCACAGGCCACCCGTACGTGCTACCAGTGGGACAGTAGACCTTCTGGACCTGGAGCATGACGAAGGAGTCGGCGTTGGAGGGGACGAGGACGAAGAGCAAAGGAAAGATAGAGAAAGAGATGAAGACTTTGCGAGACTAGCTGACCATTTCGAAGGGAGGAAGGAAGGCGTAAACAACATTATGGCCAAGGTAATATAACTTTTCGCTGTCCAGATGCGTTCATATCTTTCTGAGCTACATATTGTTTAGTTGGATGGACTGTCGAAGGCTTTGACAGAGTTTCACGCTTTGCAAGCCCCAAATATCAACTTATCTTCCTCCTCGAGGCACAACTCTATCCCTGTCACCGCTCCAGCTTCGAGTAATCCAACGGACAGACTATCCGCATCACTCCCACCGATAATTCCCATCCCTTACTCGTCAAATACCAGCGTATTAAGTCCCTCACGTATGATAGATAGCCCCATCTCTGTGGAAAATCTGGATCACTCCTGACACGGATTAACACTTTCCCCTTCTCATCGGCATTCCGATTTGCTCTACCTACTTTGAGCGAGTGCAGATGAGTGTCTGTTGGGGATCTGCATGCTGCAGACGCGAGGCGTTGCGACACTTGGGAATTACCCCAATGCTCCACTCTTGTGCATATAGAATGTATATTTCGACAACGTCGTTCCTGAAGCTAGAACTATTGATATACCGAACATGGAACTCACTCCCTATGACGTTTATGGACCCACTTGGGTAGATTCGTATCAAGTACTAGGTCAAGAGACAACTCGATAGCGCCGTATTATTGTCGACTTGCACATAGCTGCTCAAACTTGGAGCTCACGAATTATACTCCTAGGTTCACGGACTCTTGTAGTTAGCTTTAGTATGAAGCCCACAGATTGGATAAATAGCCTCCACCGTGCTTACCCTTGTTCTTCGCCCCAGATTCCACGCCATGTACTCAGATCCTTTGCAGACGACCATAGGTTGTCGATCGCTGTCGGAACTCGGACGTTACACTAAAGTTGTATGTAGATTGAATCAAGCAGCGACGTTGAGGAAGAGAGATTCCAGATGTCTGCCCTTGTCCTCGTTCTGTAGTAAATAGTCATCTGAAGATCTGTGGAGTTCCTGTTTGAGCTTGAACAGTACTCTCTAGTTATTAGTTAAAGTCGTGAGGAAGACGAAATTACCGTAGGCCGTGATATCCGCATTTCAGCCTTAATACGAGAATGATGAGCCTTGGTACCTCAGGCCTCCACTTCGAAGCACCATGTATGTTCGTCAATGGCTCCAGATCGAAGGTCTTTCGACCTTTTTGTGTACTCGGACCACACGACCGTATCGCTTGACAGACTTGGATCAATTCGAGTGCATTAATAGTGAACGAAATCAGTGATGTTGGAGCCTCCGCTGGCCTCAGCCATCGCACCAAGCCAAATGGCAGAAGATCATGGAGCCTACAACGTTAGTTACTTCTAAGTACATCATTGTCAAAGAGAGAAAGAATGTTTTGTGGCACCTTGATGATTTGGTTAGAGCCAAAAATCTCGCGTTCAACACGCCCCTTCGAAGTTCACTATTCTAAGAATGAAACAATGGAAATCCATCGGCATTGAGTTTAGCAAAGATTACTGGAGCAGAAATAGGAGAGGATGAAATATTTAGCGCTGGCCAGGTGTGATGTCATTCTGCTACTTCTCCTCCAGTCGTTTTGTTTCATTTTTCGGCAGCATTCAAAACTGAGCATATTGATTTCAAAGTTTTGTGACTTCTAACGTAGCAGCTTTGCTGCGGACTCCGTCTATATAAGCCTGCGCAACTTTTGCGAAACAGCCAACAAAAGACATGGCTTCCTTCGGTTTATCGTCTGTTCCTCCTGCTCTCAAAGCAATTACCCCTTATCTGCAGCGAGCAGATGAATTACACCAGAAAGACCCTGTCATAGCTTACTGGTCCGCTTACTATGCTGCACAAGTAGGCATATCACTCAAGGCCAAGGATAACGCGTCCCGGACCCTCCTACTCAACTTGCTTGATGTACTGGAAAAATTGAAGAACGAGATTGGGCCCAGTGATGCGATTGATATTGAGTCTGCATCTGCAGCTTATGTCGAGAATTTCGCTCTCAAAGTGTTTGGAATGGCAGATGACGAAGATCGTCGAGGTGATAGTACAAGGTATGAAACGTTCTCAAATACTACAACTTGATGCTCAGAGTACACAATATCCTTAGATCTACTGCGAAAAAGTTTCTTGCCGCTGCCAACTTTCTTGAAGTTCTTAAGACGTTTCCACAGACAGAACTCACGGAATCGGTATGCTGTTACAACTACAAAAGTTCAATCTGCTCACAAAAGTCAAATTTTTAGACGGAAGAGAAGATCCGATATGCGAAATGGAAGGCAGCAGATATCGCCAAAGCCTTCCGAGAGGGCCGTAAGCCTACTCCCGGAGCTGTGGGTGAACAAGAAGTCAGTTTTCCTGCGGTACCGCCTACTTCGAGTATAGACATCCCAGCTACTACGCCGACTAATAGCCATCCTTCGTCATCCTCTCCTCAGCGTACACCTCCTTCTCCACCTGCTATCAAACGCTCCTCCCCGCCCCCGGTTTTCGATAAAGCTCTTCCTCCACATACTCCTCCATCCGCCTTATTGGGCATTAATCCAGATACATTTGATCCGATATCTCCTGGTCGTTGGAGTACTGCTGCTACTCCCGGTGCTGGTACAGTACAGGGAACTCCCACCGATGATTCTTTGCCAGCTGTCTTCGAACGAAGCCCTTGGCCTCCTGAATCCCCTATGACAGGTACAGGGTCACAAAAGCCAAGACGTGGAAGTCAGAGTAGCACCGACTCCGCAGGCAGTCACCAGTCTTCCGGTTCGAGGAAACGGAAGACTAGCTTGTCTCCAAAGAAGGTTCATTTTTCTGCGGATGCGACTCTCCTACCTCCGCCGGCGAACGAAGCTCCTCATTTCCCTCCTGAATCCAATCTACCACCTTTCGTTCCTCCGCCGATGCAACATCCACAGCCCCCTAATGACTACTCGCATGCGCACGTTGTTCAACCTCCACAGGTTTCATATACTGCGCCACCCCCGCCCCCTCCTGCCATCGCCCGACCGGCGGTAGAGCTTTCTCCCGCAGTCATAGCGAAAGCCCAGAAACATTGTCGTTTTGCCATCAGTGCACTCGACTACGAGGACGCCGAGCACGCAAGGAAAGAACTCCGTGCAGCGCTCGCAGTTCTCGGTGGTTGAACACCACAGGGCTTGTCGTGGAAAGTTGTACATGTCAATTATCATATCTTATGTTCCTATCTTGTTTCCAAGTTTATTTTATTTATTTGAAAAGGTAACTAGCTGGCCCCAGGAGGAGCTTTAGTAGTACTCGAAACATGTCTAAACGTGTAACGCCTCGGAACCGTGGTCTATGGAACCTATAGTATCCGATTTACTAATTCCGTGTCTTGGTGTAAAGACACGAGGCCGAAGACTAAATTTAGTGACCGCCTCGAGGGCGGGGTTGGGGCGAGGCGCTGTAATTCGCCGCTCCCGACGCTCCTTTACATACATACCTACATGCTCCGCGCCATCTTCCATAAAATAGCGTCGGGGACAGTAACCTAGACTCATTGACCTCGTGTTTCTTATCTCATGGACACCGCCAATGCCAGTGATGGCGCCATGATGCATGATTTCTTGATGGCGACATCAGTCATGTGAGATTAACGGTCATTTCCATAAAAAGGCACAATGGGCTATAGAACAATAGCCACTGGACAATGAGCTCGAGTGCTCAGAGCTTCGGGATGCTTCAGGGCTCTTCAAAGCTTTGAACTGTATGAGATTTGCGCTGTTGCTTTGAGTCCGAGCAAGTGGGCTCAATTATAAAAACGTCCATGGAATCGAGCGGGGGAAAATCTCTTATCTGTGGCTGTGTGTGAATCCTAGCGTGAGACAAATCAATGAGTCAACTCATGTGAAAGTCACATGCAGCTTATCCCACGCTAGAGAGTATATAAGTTGAGTCAAAGGTCGACGCGTCCCTAAATTTCCCTCCGTCATGTACTACCACCATAGTGGGCAATACCAGCGAGATGATAATAATTTGTCGTCCGATAGTGCAACTGTAGAGCACCCTCCGTGGGAGACTCTCGACAACAACAACGTTCAGCAACCACAAGACTCTTCGCCGTCTGATCACAGCACCTACAATGTTTCGCCGGTAGCGCCCATACCACACAGCCTACCTCCTCAACACTTTGAATTCTCGTCCATACACACTTCGCCCCTTCATACACCACCAGACTTTGGTGAGAATACTACTAACCTTTTATTTCCTCAGCAGCAAGTTCCAGTGATAGGTTTTCCGCAAGAGCTTCTACAACCAGAAGGGTATCCCTCTCCCGATACCG